AGAAATATATCTGGGTGTCATCAGCATACTGATGACACCGCGCCCCAAATGAGCCAACATTAACGAAGAAAATCTCAAAATGATGACAATTCCAGGGTCCTTTCCACAACCACAGTCCTGATGATTGTATAATTTTATGACATTCCCCAATGTCCTGTATTTTTTTTAATAAACGCTTTTAAGGGTGAGAGGAAACATAATAAATATTGTGAAATATTTAGATGAAATAGTGGACCTCTTCTTATTGAAGTACAGGTTAAGTCTCGCTTATCTAAAATGCTTGGGACCAGAAGTGGTTTGGATATTGGATTCTGTGGCTATTATGATGATGATGATGATGATGAAATACTTGTATTTTTATATTTGTACATAACAAGATCTCTTGGAGATGGGATCCAGGTCTAAACACAGAATTCATTGTTTCATACAGACTTCATACACATAGTACTTTTATACAATATAATATTGTGCATGTAACAAAGTTTGTGTACATTGAATCATCTTAGCCACCCATGAAAAAAGTTTTAGTTTTTGGATTATTTTGGATTTAAGAATTCAAGATAAGGGAGACTCAATCAGTACAGTACTTAGAGTGTTTTAACAAAAGCCTGTTCAAATAACTGTAAGTTTAAATTGTCTGCTGTAAAAGTAGACAGGTACTGGGCATGTTAATTCAGCAAGAAGTGTGAGAAGCAGACCAGTGTATCATACTTCATATGATCCCATTCTCTTCTTGCAGCCTCTTTACTATAAAATATAATTCTTTTGTGGCTTGTATTAAAAAACAAAACAAATCTTGAGGATGCTTTGGTGGTTGATAAAATGTTTTAGCCATTCTATTAGGGTTATTGGTTTGTTGCTGTTGTTATGTTTGTGACTTACAGCAACTCTAACATGACCCTATCAAGAGATTTTCGCAGCAAGATTTATGAAGAGAAGATTTGCTGTTGCCTTCCTCTAAGGCTGAGAGAAGGTCATCTAGTGGATTTCCGTGGCTGAGCAGGAATTCAGACCCTGACCTACTAGTCCAGATCCAACACTCAATCCATGATACTACCCTGGCACTAAAGATTCTTCCTTGATGAGACATATCAACTGTAGGAGGAGCTGGGAAAACTGGTTTAGCCTACAGATATTTTTGTCTGAAACCTCCCATTTTTGATAACTTCTACTCAAATGGAAAATGCAGCATGTACAATTTAGATTTATCTTTCTGATTCCAATAGATTACACAATATGGAAATGGAAACAACTCCTTTTTTACCTTGTACTGTACATTTGGCCCTCCACATTTGCAGCTTTGACTTTTGTGGATTTGATTATTTGTAGTTTTGATTAATATGTTCTCTCGAGAAATCTCTAGGTCCTCCAGCACAACTCTGCCAGAAGTTGATCATAGAGTTGTGCTGGAGAACCTAGAATTTCCTAGAGAAAACACTTCTCTAGGCATTTGTAGGTCCTCCAACATGATTCTATGATCAACTTCTGGTAAAGTCTATATGTATAATCAACACATGTGTTTTTGTGCTGACCACCCAACAAGATTGTAACTTTTATAGGGTTGTTAGTGCTACTGTTACACTGTTTTTGTAAACTTGTATTTCTCCACAGAGCTTCAAAATTTATTTATTCTGATTTTGTTAATTCTTTTTTGCGGCTTCTGTTTCAGCTGGTAGACTTGAAGGCTGAACTTTTCAGAAAACAGGAAGAATTCAAAAAAGAAAAACTTCTGAAAGATGCTGGGGCCCCTGCAAAACCCAAAGCAACTAGCAAGGTAAGAGTTTGTATAAGTCTGATCCTATTACTGTCTGCTCAGTTCATTAGAAAGTGAGTGTAGGATAGTGACCTATGTCTAAACTTAATGAAATCTTATACATAAGAAACCTTCTTCTGGAATAGCTATCAGAAATATTAATCAGCTATGCCAAGAAATATAGCAGTTTCAGAGCCATTGAGCTAAAATCCATTGAATTTGAACTGTTGATATTGACTTGCTAATTTGCCAGCGAATACTTCATATTTAAATAACAAGCCCCATGCTTGGACTACTTTTTCTCAGACATAATAGTGACATGCCATAATTTTTAAGGATGCTCTGCAGGCATTTTTGATACCTAACTTAAACTGAATTCTGAGTTTGTCCTTTGCTTTGAACTTGATTCTGCAGAAACCAAGCATTTGGACTAAGCAGAACAAAGGTGTCTCAGATCGAGCAGAGAAAGATACTGAGCAGAAGATAGAAGAGCAAAAAACGTTGGATAAATCAAGGTAATTGTTCAATTCTGAGAAGGGCAAATTTTAAGTTTAATTAGTATGATTAAAAAATAATCATTTAATAAGAATAGAATTATGTCCTTCAGAGCTGATGTAGTATAATATGTACTCAGTTTCATTGCTGTCTGTTTCTGAACTTGGTTTGAATATTTGTAGTTTTAGAATGCATATGGATGTAAATTATGATTAGTACAGTATTGTTGTTGTTGTTACTATTATTGTTAAATCTCAGCTTGCCATTTACAATATAACTGATGTGAAATAGTAAATGTATGATTTATCAAACTAATGGCACTTAGAGATGAGCCAAAAACTCAGGCATACACTTGATTGGAATAAATAGCAGTTTATTATGCTGTACAGGGTAATATTCATGCTCACTCAGAACGTCTTAACTGAGTTTAGCAGGATTTGCTGTACTCAGAATGGGAGCATTAATTCTTCACTCTGTAAAATAGAAATTATAATAAGCATGCTACATGTGAAAGCATCATTGTTATTAACTGCCCTCGAGTCGATCTTGACTCATGACGACCCTATGGATGAGACATCTCCAAGACCCTCTGTCCTCCACTGCTCTGCTTAATTCCTGCAACCCCTTAATACCTGTGGTCCACTCATCTAGCATGTGGCCTTCCTCTCTTCCTACTTCCATCCACCTTCCCCAGCATTATTGTTTTTTTCAAAAAGTCCTCTCTTCTCATGATGTGTCCGAAGTACAACAGTCTTAGTTTGGTCATCTTGGCTTCCAGGGAGGTTTCCAGTTTGATCTGCTCTAAGACCCACTTGTTTGTCCTTTTGGCTGTCCATGGGCTGTCCATGGGATACTCAGCAATCTTCTCCAGCACCCCCACCCCCCATTCCTGAAGAAGCACGGGGAAAGGATCATAAAACAACATAATCATGAAGGTTCCTTTGGTGTCTTTATAACTGGAGTCAGTAATGTCCCTCCTCTCTTCTCACTTTGTTCTTCCTAAGATCACAGGCTGCTTCTGAACTGCAGAAATAATCCTGTTTGGCGCCATTTTAACTGCCATGGTGCAATACTATGGAATTTTGGGAACTGTAGTTTGTTGTGGCACCAGGGCTTTCTGACAGAGAAGGCTGCGTCTCAGAAAACTAGTTTCCAGAATTCCATAGCATTGAGCCACAGCAGTTAAAGTGGTGACAAACTGGATTAATTTTGCAATCTGGAGACAGCCTAAAAGGCATACAGGGCTTCATATGCACAGGGAACTTGATTAAATGCAGTAGCATCACTGACAAGCAAGAAAGGAGACAAGGAGAACACATTATACCCCTGCTGGGATCCCTTATATTTTTGGTACAAAGGGTGGGTTTAGCAACAGTCTCATCAGTAGTCCTGGTTTTGAGAATGGTCTGTGACTTTGATTAGTAGTTTAGGGGTTCCTTGGAAAGCTTATACAGTCATGCATGTGCAGTGAATCAAGGTATGGGTTGATTGCAAAGCGATCTTGTAGCACCTTTGAGACTAAGTGAAAGAGTGACGTTGATAGCATAAGCTTTCGTAGACTTTAGTGTACTTCCTCAGATGCATGAAGGATGGTATGTGAGGCCTGATCTTTCCACAGATACAGCTGCAGAGACCCACCAAAGCTGTCCTGTTCTGTAGAGATACTGTCACCTTTCATAGTCAGAAAACCTGCTGATTTCCCATGGGTTCACTGAGAACAGGATAGGCAGACTTGAAGAAACATTGCCGACTACATGTGATGATCCTAAGAAATGGATTCCTTTCTCCCAATTCATAGAAACATAAAATTGATTCAGAATGGCAGAATGGTATGTTGCTGTGTAATGGTGAACTGAGATTCATATGATTTTGTCTTTTTAGACAGAAACTAGAAGAAAAAGCACAGCTCTATGAAAAGATGGCCAAAGGAGACTTTCCAGGTGAATAAAACTGTTATTCTGGGGAACTGATGTTAAATCGTGAAAAATCTAAAGCTTCAGCACTA